GCGAAATACCCGAACCAGCCTAATTACGCGCAGAATCGCTAATGACATGGCCTGTTGTCCGTTTCCTTGCCTCTCTGCCAGCTCTGTGCCCAGGGTAATGAAATAGGGGATGATGGCCACAATGTCTATGATGTTCATGATGTTTTTGGAGAACGTGGCTTTACTCGGGCATGCAAAAAAGCGCACCAGCAGCTCGAAGGAGAACCAGATGATACACAACGTCTCCACCACAAAGAACGGGTCTGAGAAGGGGCTGATGAGATATGGGAGTGTGCCGTTTATCACAGGCGCAATGGTGATCGGATCCCTGTTCTCGTCCCTGAACTCCGGCAATGTCTCTAAGCAGAAGATGACAATGGAGATGAGAATGACCAGGACAGACACTATCGCTATTCCCCGGGCGGGACCCGAGCTCTCCGGGTACTCAAAAAGCAGCCACACCTGTCTTTGAAATTCATTCTCTGGCAACGGCCGCTCCTCCTCCTTTATGAAGCCCTCATCCTCCCTGAACTTCTCCATAGCCTCCTCACCCAGCTCATAGAAGCGGATCTCCTCAGAGAAAATGTCAATGGGCACATTAACGGGTCTTCTGATGCGCCCGCCAGACTGGTAATAATACAGAATGGCATCAAAGCTGGGTCGGTTCCGATCGAAAAAGTACTCATTCCTGAGAGGATCAAAGTACCTCATCCTCTTCTTGGGGTCCCCCAGCAGGGTCTCTGGAAACTGGGAGAGAGTCTTGAGCTGCGTCTCGAAGCGTAACCCTGAGATGTTGATGACCACCCTCTCGCAGCATTCGTGATCCGGTTCATATCGGTCCAGAGAGTGGTGGCCCGGGAGAGCCGCCGACTCCTCCAACATGTTGTCACACGCCACAACCGTCATTACGTCGGCCTCTGTGTCTGTGTATCCGTGGTTCACCAGGTTGTCGCCCCGAGTTTTGGTTGCGCTCGGCGGGGGTGATTGCAGGAGGCTGAGGTGGTCGTCCATGCGCGGTTGAAGACGCATACAGGGGCGGCCGCCTCGCCCCCTCCGCGAACCCCGGTCAACCACAACCGCCACAGCCTCGTCTCCTCCACCGTCTCTCACTCTCTTCCCTCCGCCTCACTTTCACTCTCTACTGTTGCTGTTCCCGCCCACGGGGAGAGATCTGGGTTTATAAACAAGCCCTCCACCCGCCCCCTGCGCGCCAGCGCTGGGTACCTTTCACTGTCCTCCGCCAATGGCAGGACGCACCGATATACACAAGAAGCAAGAGACGGGCGTCATTCAACACCATCGTTTGGGCGTGCCCGCCTCCCTCTGCCCTCTCTGTCTTGTAGACACGCGCTCTTGCACACACACACACACACTTACAGGCGAGTCCTGACAGTGTCCTTTTAAAACAAGGTCATTACACACAGATAGGTCATTTCAGAGGCGACTTTAGAATATATCAGATCCTCACTTTTCTGAAACACTCTACTACAAGGCGCACGAGCATTACGCGCTACCCTTTCTTCCATCGCTTGTTCATCCAAGGAACGAATTTGGGTGTGCCATGGTAAAATGAAAAGCATTTGTCAATGGAATATTGAGCATAATCCCGTCGTCCTTAGTTTTCTTAATAACACAGAGGGACATGATTGTTGGAGTGAATGGCATCCCATCTGAAATCCTTATAATCATATAAGTGAAGCCTGCGTCCCAAAGTGGCGATAGTACGTGTTAAAGTGAAGAGGAGCAAACAAGGAAGGCGGGGGTGGGAAAGAGAGGAGAGAGATCAAACGGGACGATGTGAGAGAAAGAAATGTGCTCTTCAAATAATGTCAGTATAAGAACAAGAATATCAAATTGACTGTGTTGTATATAACATTTGTACACACACACAAAAAACAGTACCATGTAACATCATGAGTGACACACACACACACAACACACTCACACACACACATTATTTAATGGATAATATGGTGAATGTCAAAAGGGGCAACTATAGTAGCCTGCGCAGAATCGCGGGTCCTGTGACAGATTTGTACAGATATAATAACATAGGTAGAGAGAGAGAGAGGGAGAAAGAGAGAGAGAGGGAAAGTGGGTGAGAGAGAGAGAGTAATCCCTGTCTTTTCCACCTGAAACGTGGCCAGTTTTTACTCTTACGGATTACCAGCCCCGCTGTGCTGACCAGTAATGTTTAGCCTACTTTTGTTGAATGCCATGATAAAAAAAATAATAATAAAAAGACCCTTGTACAGATACTGCAGGTAGCAGATATTTCTTAGCCATCAGTTGTTGCTCTACTTGTCTCCTCTGATTGCCCCATACAGGTCTGGTCTGCAAATTTTTTGTATTATTTTTTAGTATTAGTTGCAGGGATTTTCTGAAGTGAGACCCCGGAGGCTGCTGTCCGAGGTGCTGAAATGAAAAAAACCCCAAAACAAACAGTGAAGGTTACCAGGGACTACAAAGTAGCCAAGCTGACCATAAATACTGTAGTAAAGACTTATTTGAAAATAAAAAATCATTGTAGTGTGTATTCTTATTTACAATTTGACTGCAATACTTAAGTTTTACTTAAGTTTTCCACCATAGACAAACACTCAGAAAAGGTTTTTAATTGGCTTCACTTATTAAGGTTTAACTGACTTACCTTTTGGGTGCTCCAGCAGCCTGAGGGGATAACATGCTGATCACAAACAGTAATATCCCCAGTTCAGGTTTAGTTAGGGGGTATTTGTTGCATGTCCTTCTCAGTAAATCAGTAACAAATGCCTCAAAACTCCAGTTTACTTACTAACCTAACTTCCTGTCCCTCAAGAGTAGCCCTGTCACCAAGGAGTGTCAAGTAAAGCTGTAATCTGCCAGCTGACCTATAAAGTCACAGTCTGAGTGACAGTTTTCTGAAATGGCAGCAACAGTAAAATGAATGGTACTCTGACAGTGAACGTGCAAATACCATGCACACCCTTTTCATTCCTTAATCAGGGTCTCTCAATTCATCCAGTGTTCTGGGTCAGATCACCATTCAGACAAGCTGCTTTCTATGAATAAAGCAGATTTCTTTTTTTTCTTTTTCTTTTTTTTTTTACCCATTTTCCGTTTCTAAATGAGGACACTGAAAATTAAATTATGAGATAAATCACAGAGACAAACAGATATGCAGTCTATTCCATAACTAAATACGAACTTGATCACGTGCACGGATAACCTGGCTCCACCTACACAACAGGATGCTCGTATAGGGAAAGTTTAAAGAATGAAGGGAATCTCCCGCCATATCCTTATTAAGTTGAAACTTCCTTACAAGGTCAAGAGAAATGAGGACAGTGCCCCCAGGTGAGGACTGTGCTTGTCCTCGCTTCTACAAAGAGATGCTCTGGGTTTGGGGATAAATGTAGGTAGTGGAAAGTCTTCAAGTATAATGCCAATGCCAAAGACTTGTGTATGCACCCCAGTGTGTGTGAGTGTGTGTGAGTATGTGAGTGTGTGTGTGAAATGTGAGAAACAGAGCATGAAAGTTGACTGGTTACTAAGCTCAATCTGCTCAACAAAGAAAATACCAAATATAAAGAGTGTGCTGTACACTGTAGTTTTTGTTTTAACCTTCACTCTCTTTTCATCATGGTGGAGTGTGCATGCGCACTCTCAGGCAACATATCAACAAGTGGAAGGAACAGAGCACCGGAGGGAGGAAGGGAGGAAAGAGACCTTGGGCTAATTGTGAGGGATGACTGTGTTTGCTGCACACAAGCATCTGCTTCCTCCAGATTAAATTAAATGAACCTTGGATGACTGGACTAATCGGAGTAGTCTCCCGTCAACATGGGAAATGTGTGGCAACGCCCAACTTTACACATGCAGCCCCGCCCCTTACACACCCAGACCAGCAAACTCAAATACTAATTGCACCAAACTTGTGGGGATATACATTTACACCCTGCAGGCTTACACTATTGATCATAGCCTGCAGTAGCCTGCAACATGACCGACAGTCTAAACCTAAGGTGAAATGCTAAACTTGCTTATGGTGTCTTTTTACATTACCACTGGGGGGCACCAATAGCTGTTTCAACGTACTGTTTTACAGTATGGGCAACGCTACGTACTGTTTCTATTATTGTTTAGAAGCTGTGCAACAACTTGTACTTAAAACACTTTAGTATCATATTCCCAGTAGCAGGGTCTAACTGACTCCAATACATTTTAGTAAGTAAACTTGTTCATAATTTCTCTCATATACAGCTTCTCATTAGAATGGGACATTGTTCTAGAAAAAACTGCGGGTGAATGTGATTTAGTGCAGTTCCTGAAGTTCTGTTGTTAAGTATAATTTGGAGGTACTTGTTCCTCAATTTGTTACTTTTCACATTAATATTTTTCAAACACAACACCGGATCAGTTTAGGAGATATGGTGCATTGTTACAGATGAATCTACTGAACACTTATGCCATTGAAATTACTTCCAACATGACTAATTACTACATTTAAATGTTTCTTACATGTTTTTATATATAATATATGATAAACCTTTATTATGATAGATAATAATATAACTCAAGGACAATCTGCTGCATAATAAATACTTTTGATACTTTAAGTACATTTTGTTGACTGTAGTCTTATACTTTTACCAGTACTTCACTTAAGTCGGATGAATGCACTTTTCCCTATAATGGAGTATTTTTACACTGTAGTATTGCTACTTTTTATTTTAAATGATCTGAATGCTTCTCCCACCACCATGAACATTGTCCCTATTCTTTACTATTCAGTGGCATTGGTTGCAAAAATGCATTGAAATGGAAGTGAGGTCTGTTCAGCCCAGTGCTCTGTGTTTGTCGTTAGAATAAAACAGTGTAATAGAATCAATAAAGGGAGAGTAAAGTGAAATGATGTTCATTAAGAAACAGCTGCATTTATAGTGTGTTTTTTCTCACTGTTATTTTTAATTATTTATTTTTTGACGATTCTATATTTAAAAAGACAATGATATGCACAGACTGTGACTCATGACGCATTCACTGTAGAGCCTGTTTTCTTATTGAGGCCACATTGAAGCTGTGTTGTATTAAAAGGGCCAGCCGGTCCACAGGGAAAGAGCTGTGGGACAGCCAAAGGGCCTTTTAATGTGGTTTCCACTCTCCATGTTAAATATAGGACCACCCCAACTCCCTTATTAACCTACGAAATTAGGCTACCTTGCGCGTTGCACTTGAATGCCTCAAACTGGAATGTGGCTGACTGAAAGGCATTGAAACAGGTCCAAAGAGTGAGGGGGAAATGGGTCATTTTGCAGGAAGAACAGCTCAGCTGGCTGAGGTCATGGACATCTGGTTGCACTTGAGAAAATGGGCTGGTTTGGATCTTCTGCAAGGGATGCACAGCAGCCTCCATTCACACAGTTCCTGGAAAAAGGGTGAAGTTAATGTCTTTAAGAGAAAACTTAGGATGGGAATCACGTATCTGGCAACCTGTCCCCAGTGTCTACCAGTCAGCCTTTCTGTGCGGTTGGACTGACCTCACAAGTAGATTACATAAGCATTAGTTTCTCACAAAAAAATGAGCCATTTGATTTTAGGCCATCTCCTCAGGAATGTTTGACTAATTACCACCCACTGTTGCCACAAAATCTGTAATGGAACATTCATTTTGTTCATTGTTTGTCTCATTGGCTTTTTTTTTTTTTTTTTTTTTTTTTTTTTTTTTTTGTATCTCACTGATGTACGGGTAATGGTTTACATCACAGCCCTCAAATTACAGTTAATTATAATGAACTATTATCTATTTCAAAATATACCTGTGACTATACCAGGACAAATATTAAGTACAAAGAAAGAAGACAAGAAGGCAGGGAATGATGGGATAACCACTTTGTGATCAAGAGAGAGTTAGAAATAAATGACAATGTTAAAAGTGTTTTTCCAATAACTGCATGCATATTTTGGAGTAATAGGGTACAGCAGTACCGTTACTGGGTAGCAAGACAGGAAAAACTATGACAGGGTAACAGTGTCTATATTACAATAAAATGCTGATATTACAATAATAATGCAAAATGAGGTTAGCAGCTAAGGTTTCATCAGTTTTTTTGTCTTCATTTATGAATGTA